GAAAGAAAAGGAAAGGAAAGAAAAAAAGAAAAGGAAAGAAAGAAAAGAAAAGAAAGAAAAGAAAAGAAAAGAAAAGAAAGAAAAGAAAAGAAGCGCCTCCTCGTTAATCTGCTTCCTGTAATTTCATCTGTTAATCCAGCCTCATCCCTTTAATCTGTGGAACATTGTCCTGCAGCGACACAACGCTCTGCTTCTTTCTGTTCATCAAACCTAAACTTATTCAATCATTTTTACTTTTATCTTCTGTTGTTTTAAGTTCCAGTCTTTTATAAAACGTTAACAGCTGCAGAATAAAAATAAACCATCAGAATAAAGAGATTTACAAACACCTGTCAGACCACGCTGAGGGCAAACACACCCACATCATCTATTAACAATAAATACATTTCATTTATTAAACACACACACTGCCAGGAGCTGGTTGCTGCACTGCATTCTGGGTAAAGGTCTGTCTTCTGCTCTGGTTCTGGTTCTGGTTCTGGTTCTGGTTCTGGCTCTGGTTCTGGTTCTGGTTCTGGTTCTGGTTCTGGTTCTGGTTAGCAGAGCAGGAGAAGTGACCAGACGAAACATTAGGTGAAAGAAGGAGCTGAAACAAAGGGAGTGTGTGATGTCACAGGTGAGTGGGACCGTGCAGCCGGGCTGAGGAACCGGTCGGAGCAGAATCCACGTGGAGAGAAGGAGGTCAAGGACAGATGGAGATTCTGTGCGACCCAGACTCAGAAGTCCAGGCTGGGTTCAGCTGAGAGGACAGGGTGCAGCAGGATATCCCAGTTTCCTCTGCAGTATGTGGGTCGAGCTCTAAAACAAGCTGGCTCCTCAGTTCCCATGATGCACCTGGATATTTTTATGTTTCAGCCTCGGACACGTCTGAAACATCTGAGTCCAGTTTGAAGCAGAGAGACCTGAAGGTTCACCAGGAGGTCCAAGCTTTTACAACACAGACCCTCCATACGAGGCGTTAACTTCACATAAACAACAACAACAACATAAAGTGATGTAAACAAGTTTCTATTCGACTTGTTTCTCTTTGATCTCTGCTCAGTGGGGCCAGACCACGCCCACTTTCTGAGCACAGATCAGGAAACTAGTTCAGTCCTGAATCATGATCCTCAGAACTTCACTTTGTTCTGTTTTACAACATTTTGATTTCATAGTTTGGATCGTAGCATTCTAAAACACTTACATGTCTTTTAAACTAATTTAATTATTTTGCAGCTTTGATCACCTGGTGCTGGACTGTTTGGGTAGAAGAAGTCTCTCTGCTGTGGAATCGTTCACTCATCAGCTCTAACTTCATTTACAGGAATAATCACAGATGGTTATGTTCAGAAAGACACGCACATTAATAAAAATATTTCTTCTTACACTTTAGTTTAAATCAACATCAGATGCTTGTTGAAATGTTAGATGGAACTTTTCTGCAGCTGAATGTGATGAAGCTGGTGGAGCGCACTCACCAGAGTCACTTCATCCCTTTTAATCCTCATAGTGTCTGAAAAACAACAAATTACAGGTCAGAACAAAACAAGTGCTGTTTCCACAGTGGTCCTGCATCTGTCTGAGCTTACAGCACAGTCTGTGCACGGACTGTTTACATCTGTGTGTTTACATCTGTACACTTACTGTTTACATCTGTACACGTACTGTTTACATCTGTACACGGACTGTTTACATCTGTGCACGGACTGTTTACATCTGTGTGTTTACATCTNTCCTGGTCTGTGATCCTGGTCTGTGGTCTTGGACTGTGATCCTGGTCTGTGGTCCTGGTCTGTGGTCCTGGTCTGTGATCCTGGTCTGTGGTCCTGGTCTGTGATCCTGGTCTGTGATCCTGGTCTGTGGTCTTGGACTGTGATCCTGGTCTGTGATCCTGGACTGTGGTCCTGGTCTGTGATCCTGGTCTGTGATCCTGGTCTGTGGTCCTGGTCTGTGGTCCTGGACTGTGGTCCTGGTCTGTGGTCCTGGTCTGTGATCCTGGTCTGTGGTCCTGGACTGTGATCCTGGTCTGTGATCCTGGACTGTGATCCTGGACTGTGGTCCTGGTCTGTGGTCCTGGACTGTGGTCCTGGTCTGTGGTCCTGGTCTTCATGATGTCTCCTGTTTGACAGTAGCTCCTCCCACTCAGAGGTGATTGACAGGTGTTGGTTCAGTTTTCTGCAGAGGGTTCGGTTCTGTCAGCTGAACTGGACCCCTCATGGCTTCGACGAGTCTCTGGTTCTGATCCGCTGACTGCGACCCACCGGGCCGGACCTCCTCGGTTCTGCAGGAGGGACTCAGGCAGATGGAGGACAGATGTCCAGATGTGTCAGTGGTTCTGCTTCAGCTCTGAGGAGCCTCTGAGCCAGTTCATTAAATAATTTCATCAAGAGAAGGAAAGGAAAGGAAAGAAAGAAAGGAAAGGAAAGAAAGAAGAGGAAAGAAAAGAAAGGAAAGAAAAGAAAAGAAAGAAAAGGAAAGGAAAGAAAGAAGAGGAAAGAAAAGAAAGGAAAGAAAAGAAAAGAAAGAAAAGGAAAGGAAAGAAA